CCTTGACCCAGAATTGAATCTGTGACCCTTCAGTCCATATGTCTATGCTCCTACCATTGAGCCAAAACCAGCCAGGACAATAATTATTTATAATAGCCAAAACCTGGAGAAAACAAAAATTATCCAACAGGAGCTTGAATAATTGTGATGGTCATCATAGAATTAGGACTCAATGAAAATAAACTACAGATATACATGGTTTAGCTAGATGAATCACACAGACACAAATATATATATATATATATATATATATACACACTAGAGGCTTGGTGCATGAAATTCATGCACGGGTATGGCCTGCAATCAGGGCCATCTTCCCCAGCTGCCTGCAGCCAGCCCTGCCCCCCCACCGCCACCCACTCCTGGTTTCTGGTTCGCCATCTAGTGATCAGTGCCTGACGGCCGGGGGGGGGGGGGGAAGGACCAAGAGGTCAAATGTTCCCGCCCGCTCGCCGGCCCCACCCCCGCCACAGGTGGCCATCAGGTGATGGGAGCCTGCTGGCCAGGGAAAGGGACCAAGAAGTGGTCAGTGTGCCTCATAGTGACTGGTCCAGCAGTCGTTCTGGTCATTCTGCCGTTAGTGTCAATTTGTATATTACCCTTTTATTATATAGGATAGTATTATTACATTCATATCAAGTTCAAAACCAGACAAAATTAATTTGTGGTGTTAGAAATCAGGCTAGCTAGTTTATACTGTTAGGAATATGTCTTGGAGAGTATACAAGGAGATTTCTAGGATGTTGGCAATGTTTTATTTCTTTACAGAGTTATGGTACCATGGGTATACTTTATAAGTCCATTTAGTCATACACCTATGATTTGTGTACTTTTGTGTATGTATTCATGATACACTTCAGTTGAAAAGCTTAAAGAATAATTTGTAAACTTAAAAAAATATATAGGGATATTTTACATCCTTTTACTCTCACTAAGTCTTTGATATCCAGTGTGGATTTTACACATCTCAATCCAGACCAGCCACCTTTCAAGTGCTCAGTAGCCGTGTGTGATGAGTGGCTACCTTACTAAATATTGCAGGTCTAGGACCCACTATTTCATTTCAGAGCTTCTCTGGAGTTAAACTTTTATTTTCAGGTCTTCCCTTGGAGTGTAGGTGGGAAGAAATGGGAATTGTTTCTCCCAAGGACCTCATGTTAATTTTACTGCTACTTCTCTGTTTTTATAGAATCTTTTCTACTTAAAAAAGATGGTTGTTTTTGTGTACAGGTTTAGAAAAATGCCCAATAAACCATCATTTTGGTTATTTGTTCTTATTGCTTTATTGACCATTCTTTACATGACCAACACTTTTTTAAAAGCAAACAGTTGATTCAAGTATGATATATACAAAAGGGCACAAATTGTAAATCTATAGTTTGATGAATTTTTACTAAGTGAGCACATCTACTGTTTGTTTTCAAGAAACAGAGCATTACTAGTCCCCAGAAGCTTCTGCTGTGTGCCACTTCTCAGTCACAGCCCCCAAAGTAGAACCCAAACTATAACACCCAGGATTAGTTTTGTCTGTTTGTGAACTTCATATAAATGGAATTATAAGTATATACTTTTGTGTGACTTGTTTTGCTTACAATTATATTTGAGAGATCCACTCATACTCTTGATTATAGCTATAGTTCTTTAATTCTCATTGCTATGTAGGATTTCATCATGTAAATATACCACAATTTATTTGTCTATGTTACTGTTGATGGACATTTTGGGATAATTAGTGCTGTTATGAACACATTTGGTCATAAATTTTGTTGAATATTATTTTCACATTTCTGTTAGTATATAACTGAGTGTGGAATTACTGTGCCAGAGTGTAAACATATATAAGTTTAAATAGATAACTACCAAAGGATTTTCCAAAATGGTTGTACCGGTTTACACTCAACTGTAACTGTGAGTGTAGTTGTTCCTGTCCTCACCAACATTTGTTATTTTTTGTTTGTTTGCTTTGTTTTTGGTTGCTGTGGGCTGGGTTATGTGTGCAAATAATCCTCAAATTTCGGTGGGTGAAAACAGCACCAGTTTATTTCTCTCGTGTTATATGTCTGTCATGGTTTGGCTTCAGCACCCCTGGGCACTGCTCTTACTCTGTACTGATGGGACAGCCACTTTTGGAAGCTTGCTGGTCACAGGAGCAGAGGGAAGGTAATGGGGAGTGAGCACTTGCAGCCTCTGCCTGATGTGGCACATGTCACTTCTCACATTTCATTATCCAAACAAGGACATCTCCTCACCTAATTGCAAAGAAGAAAAATCCTTACCCTGTGCCCGGAGGAAACGAGTATTTTAGGCAAAAACTATCACATCTGAAACGACTGATTTCAGAGAATATGGCCCTGGTTTAGTGTTTGTGTAAGAAAATAAACACACACAGACAAGTCCTTTTAGTTTTTCCATTCCATGTTGTTTTTAAAACGCTGCAGTCCTGAGAAATGAGTCTATTACAACTACAGGATTGTGGTCCCTCTTGCTGAAAACTCCTTAACAGCTTCACTGTGCACTCATGCAACCCAGACACGATGTGGCCTACAGTCCCTGCCTTTCAAACCTCCTCTCGTGCCACTCACGCCACACCTCAACCCTACTGACCTTTCAGTTCCCTGAAGGAGACATGCGCTCTCTACTTCTGCCCTGAGTGCTTTCCTACCTTTCTCCTTGCTTTTACCTGCTAATTCTTTGGCTTTTAGGTCAAATATTTCCTCTAGGAAGTCCCGTGACTCCCGGGGTAGATAGAGTCTTCTCTTTTCTATGCTCTCATAATACTCTGTTGCTTTGTTTCCAAACAAGCTGTTCCAGAGTTTTGTGTGCAAACATGTGTTGTTGTTTTTTCTTCACCCGAGGATATGTGGTGCTCATTTTTGTTTTGTTTTGTTTTTAGAAAGAGTAAGGGAGAGAGAAACCTCATTGTGAGAGAGAAGCATATATTGGTTACCTCCCATATGCGTCCCTGCAACCTAGGTATGTGCCTGACTAGGAATCAAACCTTCACCCTATTTGGTGCATGGGACGATGCTCTAACCAACTGAGCCACCCAACCAGGTCTGTTCTAGTTTTTAAAGTCCATTTTTGCGCTATTATTTATTCAACCTGTTTCTCCAATTACTGTGCAAGCTTCAAGGGAGCAAAGATCAAGTCTGTTTTGCTCACCACTGTATGCTGCTGCTTCTGTTTATCCCAGTTACTGGCGTGTAATAGGAACTCATTAAATATTAAGTTTGGTTATAGTTTTATGTTTGTGACATTTATGTGGTCTTGAGGAGAATGTGTTCTCTGGTCCTTAGAGAACAATTTAATACTAAGAAGTTAATCACACGAACTGCAAATACACTGTTGCTCCATGCCTCTGTATCTTGGGACATCTGAGAGAATCCAGAGTAGGGATGCTTTTCCCATTCTCTCTGGATTAGAGTAACCCTCACCTAGATCTTCACATTATTTAAGTGATTTTTCTCGTCCTGTTTTTTGAGTGATACTTTCATGTTTAACTTAGAAGCCCTACAGTCAGAGGGGATATATCACATTTAACATAAATGGCAGTGAGTGTATTATATAGACATACTGAATAAATAAATAAGTTGTGTGATAGTAAGGTGTGTGTTTTTTTGTTTTGTTTTGTTTTGTTTTTAGCTTCTGGAGATGATACTGAATTACCAAAACATGTTGTGATTTATTTTCGTGATACTTTGCATTAGCAAAAGGACATCTGTTAGATGCTTGGGAAATGCTTACCCACATCTTTATGTCCCTCACTGTTTGTCTTCATTTACATGTGTTGTGGGAAACTTTAGTCTTTTCTGTTTCTCTTTTCAGAAAGAATAACAAATTTGATCACTTTCTTGTCTATATGTTTCATTGTGGACTATAGGTTCTGTTCATCATTTAAAATGCAAATGTTCTAATAGAGATATCTCCTATAATGATAATCTTATGAGTGGAATAGATAGGATGAAACAGACATGGTTATCTGTAAGCCTCTCATAGTTGTGTTCCCCATTTTATTCTAGAAGAGAACCTTTGCTTCTCATTAATAAGAACTGATGGGGAAGCAAAGGAACATGAGTAAGGATTATATTTGCAGGGCCTCTCTGTTTAAGAAATATTTATTAGTTACCTATTTTGTGCCAGAAGCTGGGGAAACTAAGAAAGAGATGAACACTTCCTATAAGGCTTTACATTTTTGTTTCAAATGATAATATTCTAACAAGCTGGGTTTCACTCTTTTGCTAGCTGTGCCAATTTTATCGCCTACTGAATGTGGATGATAAGGTACCCATCTCATAAAGTTCTTCTGAGGAGTAAATAAGAGTGCATTTCAAACACTTAAATGTTGATTTTTATTTACCATGAGACTTTGTCCACAGTTACCTTAACTGCTTATTGTCCTGTGTTTCTTCTGCTTGTTTTTTCCATATTGCCATCAGAAACACGGATCCGATTGCATAACATTACCTCTTCAATACTGTCTTCTCAACTTTAAAAAACGTTTGTGGTTTTCTGTTGTCTCAAGAAGAAAGCCTCAAATACATGGAAGGCATTTAACACCTTACCATCTGAACCTGCCCTTTCCTACCAAAGTAGCTTCTGCCTTCGCCCCCACTAGGTTGCAGCCCACGTAGGCTGCACACATTATATTCCACGGGCTTGTGCTCTTCCTTCTGCCTAGAATTCCTGCTACAGCCTTAACTCCATTCTCACCCCACCCAGAACACACAGTCCTCTATGGGCAACTCCGAGATCCTCTTATTCTTCCCAGGTATAAATCTTTGATCCCTGTCATTTATATCTCTTTAGCATGTATCACATTATTAAAATGTAATTAAAGTGTTTTACTCTCCCACTAGCTTGTGAGTTCCTTGAGAGGAGAGACCTTAACTTATTCATCACTGTATCACTAAAACCAGTAGTCATGCAGTAAAAATATTGAAATAATGAATTGAGATTTGGTTTAATTTTGTTTTGATTTCAATGTATTCTTATTATTCTAGGTTCTGGGCCTTGTTCAAAATATGAGTGTTTTCCAGTGTCCAAAGTGTAAACACAAGACTCATATTTTTGGTGCTGATGGTGCAAGGAAACTAGCACAGATCCTTGATCTTGATATTCTAGGTAAGACCATAGAATATTCTTTTCTTAAAATATATTTTTCTTGATCTCAGAGAGGAAAGGAGGGGGAGAGAGAATAGAAACATCAACTATGAGAGAGAATCATTGATAGGCTGCCTCCTGCACACCCCACACTGGGGGTCAAGCTCACAACTTGGGCATGTACCCTGACTGGGAATGGAATCATGACCTCCTGGTTCATAGGTCGAGGCCCAACCACTGAGCCATGCTGGCTGGGCATGGAATATGCTTTTGCAGAGGAAATGGTAGAAGGGAAAATAGAGATCGGGTATGGTGATGAAAAGTGTCTCAGAAAATGATGAATTGCTTTTGGCTTTGTGTTTTAAATTAAGTTAGTTCAGCGCAGTTCTATGTGCTAAGCTTTGGTTTTTTATAATACTTCATTTGTGGAAGGCTTTTTAAAAGGAAGTTTGTTCTGCCAATTTTGATGCTTTCTGCTATTGATAAAAACTGCTTATAACTTGAATTTGAGAAGAGAGTTTTGTGGTCTGACTGTGGATTGAAGCCCACATTTTAATGGTCACTAGTTTGTTGCACTGGGAACACATCTCTCAGTTTACCGGTATATACTAGTATGAAAATACCTGTCCATTATGTTGCAGCAAACTTAGGGAGTGTCACTTCTTGGTGCATATGAAAAAATGCCTTCCTGATCAGTTCTGAATTTATCAGTTCTTCTGCTCTAGAAAGACAATATTTTCTGTTTTCTGGAATCTTCTTATATGTGTTTGCCATGTGTATAAGAGATGGCATTTGAAATTTACATTGCATATACTGTTCATATTATTGAATTGAAGGGTTAATTAGTGTTATGAGAAGTAAAATCATGTGTTAATGGAATAAAACACAGATTTTTTATAAAACATGACTTTTAAAAGGTCCACAAGCAACCTAATGAACTTTTTAGGACACATGTTTTGATATTCTGCTTATTAAATGAGTTTCTGTTCTGGGGAAGGCAGATGTTAGATGCTGAGTAAGGGAGCCATAGAGTGAGTTATTAGTTATAGATAGTTTACAATTAAGATCCCTTTAGAGATCAAGGAATTTCAAAACATACTCTATTATAATTACATTTCTAAAAGTTGATGTTAAATGTATTATTGTTGTTATGCATTTGTCCCATAGCAGCCACCACAATACCAGGTGAATACTAATGATATATTTTGATACATTCTTATAAATATAGTCACTAATTATATTCTGCAACTGTTTTTCATTTAACCTAAAAATTTCAGTTTCTTAAATCTGCATAATAACATAACAGATTGACATTCATTTATATAATAAAGTAAATGTGTAATTATAATGGCATTATTGAATTATGTTAACAATATTATAATTCCCTAATTTATAAATGGGTGGTACCATTTTGTAAGTCAGTGATTTAGACTTTGAAACATATCTCCTAGAGAAACAATCTCACATATGGAAGTTATTTTTTAACCAACAGCTCAGAAATGTATAGTTACACTAAAAAAGTATCAGCAACACTGATTACTGATCTCAAAACTGGATAATGCCAGAGACTGCTGTCTCTAACAGTGTATGGGAAAATGATTTAGAGCTCCAGTTCAGGGCCATCTCCTCCTTTTAATGCAGTCCTGGGGGCCCAGACAGTGCCCGTGAACTTGAGCAGGGGCTCCAATAATGGAGAGGTTGGAATTGGAAATTAGAAACTGAAATAAAACAAAGAGCTCTCATAGCTATGGCCTCTGACTGGTTGAAGCCCCCAGGCACCCTCATTGGTCTCTTACTGACTCTCTGGCTGCCTCAGTTTATTTCATCCATTGGGCTGTGTTTTGAATTTGGCAAAATGGCTTTTCAGAACTTTATCCATATTTTTCTACAGGGACAGTTTATGCATGGTAGGTAAGGTCTCAGGTTATCTCACAGAAACCCCTTTAGCTTATGTCTCTGAAATATGCCCTCCTTTCCTTCGGACCTAGCCGTTCTCCATACCTTTACTCCTTTTTATCCTTCTCTGTATACAGCTGTGGCCCCTTACCACTCTCACTATGCCGCCTATTTTCTAACAAGGTTTTCCTCTTTTTTTATCTACGTTTCTGTATCTATGGGAGGATTGTGAATCTCTGGAAGGCAAAAATCATGTCAATGGGAGGTATAAAGGAGAAGGTTTTACTTTTATTTTTCCCAGTACTATAATAGCATGTTCATAAGTCAAGAGCAAAAACCTTTATGAGTTTTGAAATATTTTCTATAACATATATTCCCCTGCCTGTTCCTGTGACAACTTCTTATAGTCTTAGTTGATCTGTAGAATAGACACAAATTTACTAAAAATGTAATCTTTAAATGGTTACCTAAATATTCATATATTTTTGTCATTTGTCTATTGAACATTTAGGAAAGACAAAGAGTGGGTTAAGATTTCAAAATGTGATGACATGAGGAGCATACTTCATAATATAAATTGTAGTAGGTTTGTAATGTTGTAACATATAATCTGCATTATTTACATTGCCTGGCATGGTGCTGAATGACTTATTTATATAAAACATGTGTATACACACATTTCAATGACCTTCCCATGGATTTGGAGTGGTTCTATGAATGCTGAGTACCATGACGAGTCAGCTCTTCTACTTAAGGCTCCATTTGCTGCCTTTTAGATGTCAGCATTTGGGAAGCCATCATTTGTGATGGTGTGGTGGAGAGAGTCAGATGGATGGTGAATCCCAGCATTTCATCTATTATACTACCTAATGGTAATATATCATCAGCCAAGACACATCCTTCCAGACCTCAAGTCTGCATATTGGAGTTTCTCATTGTATATGTCCTGAGGTCTCATCAAACTCACAAGTTTTAATGCTAAAAGATTAATCTATATATATAAAAGCCTAAGCGACCGTTATGACCGAACGACCGGAACAACCGGTCTACCAGTTGCTGTGACGCGCACTGACCACCAGGGGCAGGCATTCAATGCAGGAGCTGCCCCCTCGTGGTCAGTGCGCTCCCACAGCCAACCTCCCATGGCCGGGCAATCTCCCTCGGCCCCTGCCCCCGGCTGGCCGGCCAACCTCCTGGGGTCCCTACCCAAGGCTGGTCAGCACCCTAATAAGCCTCGAGGGACCCCATCTGTGCACGAATTCGTGCACCAGGCCTCTAATATATAATAAAAGTAATCCTATCTGATAAGAGACAGGGAGTTGAGATAACAGGTCTGACCTACTTTTCAATAGTTCTCTTAGCTTACTCGTCTGCTAGCATCAGGAAGATTATATTGCACTTTTATTTTATTTTTTTATTTTATTTTTTTGGATTACTTTGCCTTCCCCATCTTTTCCTTTTCAGTTTCCTCTTATTATGTGGTATGTTGTGTCTATACCAGGTATTACAGGTAAAAATAATTTACAAATGTCTTCCAAACCATTTGCAGGAAGATCTCCAGCAAAGAATAAACCATGGCCCCATGAGGAGTGGCCACATAGTTTTTATATAATATACTAGAGGCCCAGTGCATGGATTTGTGCACTGGTAGGGGGTCCCTCGGCCTGGCCTGCAGGGATCGGCCAAAACCAACAGTCCTACATCCCCTGAGGGATGTAGTCATGCCAAAGTAGCAGGCAGCCAGGGGGGAGCCTGAGCCTGGGCCAGGTGCCGCACTGCGCCACTCCTGCTCATCCCGGCCCCACTGTACCGACTGCCACCAACGCTCGGTAGGCTCGCTGCTGCTCTGCTGCAGTCTCCGCGCTCGTCCTAGGGCAATACTGGCGCACCCATGACCGTGAAGCAGCTGCGGGCTCACACCCAGTCAGTCCCGATGCTGGTCCCGGTCTGGATGGGAGAGGGGTGCACATGGGGAGTCTCCATGGGAGAGGCTCGCGCCACCGCAGCGGTGCTTGCCAACCATGAGCCCAGTGTCTGGCACCTGTTGATCAGCTGAGCAGCGCTCTTGCTCTGGGAGAGTACTGACCACCAGGAGGCAGCTCCTGTGTTGAGCGTCTGCCCCCTGGTGGTCAGTGCATGTCATAGCTACCAGACGACCGGTCGGTCCACTGGTCGCTTAGGCTTTTATATATACTAGTAGCCCGGTGCACGAAATTCATGCACATTAAAAGGGAATTAATTGCCCTAACCAGTTTGGCTCAGTGGATAGAGCATCAGCCTGCGGACTCAAGGGTCCCAGGTTCGATTCCAGTCAAGGGCATGTACCTTGGTTGCGGGCACATCCCCAGTGGGGAGTGTGCAGGAAGCAGCTGATCAATGTTTCTCTCTCATCGATGTTTCTAACTCTCTATTCCTCTCCCTTCCTCTCTGTAAAAAATCAATAAAATATATTTTTTTAAAAAGGGAATTAATTAGCAGAGATATTTTAATATTGCTATTTGCCCTTTCTATATAATAGAAGTGTGCGAGATGAAAGAAAATTCATAAAATATATATGAAAATAATATATAAATTTATTAATAAATAAACAGTAACAAAAGGATATAACAACAACAGAGGCATGATATAAAAATGACAAAAACATGATATGAAAACAACAAAAACATGATATAAAAACAACAGTGATGCAATGACTGATAAAGTGATTAAACTTATTCTAATATCTCCCTGTACACCACATTAAGAGTGAAAACACTTTCAGAGTGCTTGACTAATTTCCCTTGTGATGAAGTACTGTCTTAGAACTTTAACTGTAACATCACATGCTCTTCAAACTCTAGAGAAAGCAACATATAACTGACCATGTGCAAAAACAGGTTCAGGTAGGAATATGCCTACTTTGTCTAGAGTTTGTCCTTGTAATTTATTAATAGTCATCACAAATGCTGGCATCACGGGAAACCATCGTCGAATCAATTTAAATGGGAGGCCAGTGTCAGATGGGGACAAATTAATTCTTGGAATCAGAACAGCCTCTCCCTCTGCAGATCCTGTTAATACTTCAGCTTCGATAATGTTAGGTCGTAATCTTTTGATAATAAATCTGGTACCATTACAAAGACCCCATTTACTATTGAGA